AGGGTGGTCACTACTGGTGTACTATAGGAGTCAATAGTGGGGCCAGAATTGTTTAACATGTTTAACACCTTCGTTAATGATCTGGATGATGGGGCAGAGTGTACCCTCGGCAAGTTTCTAGATGATGCAAAGCTGGGAGGAGTGGCTGATACGCCAGAGGGTCGTGCTGCAATCCAGAGGGACCTCAAGAGACTGTGGATGTGGGCTCATGGGAACCTCATGAAGTTCAGCAAATGGAAATGCCAAGTCCTGCCCCAGGGACAAATAGCCCCATGCACCAGGACGGGCTGGGGCTGACCAGCTGTAAAGCAGCTTGGCAGAAAAGGCCCTGAGGGTCCTGGTGGACCCCAAGTTGACCATGGGCCAGCGATGAGCCCTTGTGGCAACAAAGGCTGATGGTTGTCCTGAGCTGCACTTGGCAGAGCATCTCTAGCAGATGAAGGGAGGTGATCCTTCCCCTCTACTCAGCAGTGGTGAGACACACCTGGAGTGCTGCGTCCAGGTCTGGGCTCCCCAGTACAAGAGAGACAGGGATTTATTGGAGAGGGTCCAGCAAAGGTCCACAAAGATACATGGTTTGGAGCATCTGACGTGAGGAGAGGATGGGAGATCCAGGACTGCTCAGCCTGGAGGAGACCAGGCTCAGGGGCATCTTATCAATGTATGAAAACACCTGATGGGAAGGAATGAGGACAAGGCAGACTCTTCTCAGTAGCACCCAGTGACAGGACATGAGGCAACAGACCCAAATTAAAACACATGAGATTCCATCTGAACACAAAAAAATGCTCTTTTACTGTGAGGGTGGTCACACACTGGAATGGGTTGTGCAGAGAGAGATGGTGGAGTCTCCATCTTTGGAGATACTCAAAAGCCACCTGACTGGATGCAGTCCTGGACATTGTGCTCTGGCTGACCCTGCTGGAGCAGGGGGGTTTGGACTAGACGATCTCCAGGTGTCCCTTCCCATCTCAGCCATTCTGTGAGTCTAAAACATGTTGCTTTAAAATTAATATCTGAGGTAAACTGGAAGAGAATTTTTTTTTTTTGTCTCTCTGTAGCTAACCTGTTCCTTTTTAATTTTGTTTTGACTTAGAAAAATGCAAAGGAAATTTCCCATCTTTTTCCCAAGTTACTTTACCATGTAGGGAAATCACCATTCTGGAGGGAAAATACATTCAAAAATAGAAAATACAATTGCAAACCTAGAAAATGGGCCAGATGCCTCAGAAGAAAATGCATTTTCTCAAATTACCTTAATTTTGAAGGTGATACTTTGTAACTAAATGTAAATGTTTTTCATCTCAGGCTCTTGCCTTACTATTAGAAAGCAAACTGTTCCTGGGTGGTGGTGGCAACAGTTGTTATCGAGGTAGCATCTAGTGTGGGGTTTCAGTTGAAGGCTCTGTCTTTCAAATATTGAGTGTATTCATAGTTCAATACATGTTACCTCACTGGGCTTGCTCATATGCATTTTGGAGGTTCTCCAGGAATTGCCCTTCAAATTCCCATATAGAGAAACTCGGAAAAAAAATCAGTATTCTGAAATTAAAGTCATGGGAGGCATACGTGAAAGCCGTTTCTGGATGCAGAAATCTGCCAGCACTGTCTGTATGGCCTCTTATATAAAAGTTGAAGTGTTTGAACAGCTGTCCGGTTTTCCTTCCCACACACAGATATGGCTGATTTTCGAGAAGTGTTTGCCAAAGCGAAGCATATAGCCATTATCACAGGAGCCGGTGTTAGTGCGGAGAGCGGAGTTCCTACCTTCAGAGGGGCTGGAGGTTTCTGGAGAAAGTGGCAAGCCCAGGTACGTACAGGGGTGGTGGCACGTGTCTGCGCAGCTGTGTGTCTATTCATCAGGTAGGCGAGCGCAAAGGGTCAGAAGAAGCTGGGAAGAAGCTTCCACCTTAGAGGATGGCAGCGGTCCCGTGGTTGTTCGGCAGGGACAGAGCTCTCCCTGCGGCTCTTCCCCGTGCCCGGGGGGCTCCTTTCTGCAGCTGCAGCTTCTTTTCTGTTGTTTGGTTTATCAGTTGTTTGGGGGAAACAATGTTCTTGCAGACAGCTCCAGGTCTTTCTGCCATCCTTGTTTTCTTGCTGCCTTGCAGCTTAAGCTGTTTGCTCATCTTTTGACACCCTCACTGTTTTCCTACCTCGTGGGACCTTTCCTGTTTTAAACTCTTAAGAACCTTTTACCAATATAACAAAGGACAGGACTGATGATACCAAATACTTGTGTTCTTTTAATCTTGGTTTCTCATAATAGTCATTAAAAATATTTTAGGAGTTTTTTGGGGGGGAGGGTGATGGGGATTCCTCACAGTGTTCAACTCTCCCACAAGCTGCATCTCTCTGGCTGGTGTGATCTTGCCAGCATTGGGAGCCACTGGGGTGGGAGAGGAGGTGGAAGCAGACACTGGGGTGGGGGTGGAGTGGTGCAGCAGTGAGCACCAAAATGTGCGAGTTGTGTGGGTGCCTCGCGAGTCTGATCCTGCTTGATGCTGCAGATGCTTCTGGTAACTGTAACTGCTACCCCAAACACTGCAATCACATTTGCTTTCTTTATGTTTTCTGATGCCAGCATTCATGAAAGATTTGATTAAGTTAAAAAAGGGTCAGAGATACGAGTTTTTCGAGATGGTTTGAATCTAAAGATGCATTTTTTTCTTTCAGTGACTATCGATTCAAATAAAGCATGCGTGTGTATAAATGCCTTATCCTTCTGCACCAGAAAGCTTGCATTCAGCGTTTTCGCATCAGTAGAATTGTGTGTTGAAGCATTAGACTGAGCCACTCCTCATTTAAAAAAAAAAAAACAAAACGATAAGGCAAAATTAAAGTTAGCGTGAAAAGTATAGCTTTGATTTTACCAGCACGTAAAAGACAAGACATTAGACTTTTGTTTTGACGATGGCTGTAATTTGGCTTGTGTTACTCTTAAATTAAGGCGGAAAAGAAATTGCTAGCAAAGGAAATATATCCACACGATGCTGAATTTTATGGCTGCTGCAGAAAAGAGAGTTTTGAATGCCAACAATTGTGTGCATTGAAATATCTTGTCTTCTTTGTGCTGTACTGAACTCCTGATAGTTTGGTAGGGCAGCACAGAATGAGGTCTGAGTCTACTATGTAAAACCATGTACCATGCTATTGATATCAGTTATTTCCTCGTTTGATAAGATACTTGGACTTGTCATCCTCGTAAGGGCTATTGAACTATATTCTTGTCAACTGCATCTGGGTATAAATAATCCGCTTTTGATTATCTTGTTATGCTGGTAGCAGTGTAAATGGTAATAATCTAGCAGGTTTCATCTGGGGAGGGGATTTTCATGCCTTTCAGTTGGCAGAATGAATTGCTACGTCTTTTCCAGGAGCTGGCTACTCCAGAGGCTTTTGCACGAAACCCTTCTCGTGTATGGGAATTTTACCATTATCGTCGGGAAGTGATGTTGAGTAAACATCCAAATCCTGCGCATATTGCCATCGCAGAGTGCGAAAGGCGACTGAGCAAGCAAGGAAGGAGTGTTGTGGTCATTACTCAGAATATCGATGAACTACACAGAAAGGCAGGCACAAAGCACCTCTTAGAAATTCATGGTAAGAATCAGTTTACCCATCTGCTACAGGCCAGCAAACCTGGGGGTGCGGGGAGAAGAGAGAGCAGCATAAGTACTGGGAGAAAATAAATTTGTCTTTAAAATGATAATAACTTGGATAAAGTCATTTACAATATCACCCTGTTCTCTTTTGGAAATTGTTTCAGGTACTTCATAACCTCCCTTTATTTCTCTTTTATCCCTTTTTCTCTTTTTCTCTTTTTCTTTTTCTCTTTATTTCTTTTTTAGTGGATTCTGACAGTACTGGTTCTCCCTTCCCGCTTGCTCAGTTTTGCCTCAGATACACTTGAATACATGTGGATAGTGACACTTGGCTGATTTCTTTCAGAAAAGGGGAAAAGAATCCATAAGGATTTCCACTGTGTGGTAGCGATAGTGCCATACCAGTATTGCCACCAATAACAGGTGTAGTGGCAAGACTGGTCTCACCAGCCCTGGTGTTTTCCCTCTGTCCTGTCCTGTCCTGTCCTGTCCATCAGAAACCCACCTGTGCAGTCCTTGGCTACAGGAGGAAGAAGGGGCTGGAAACAGATGGGATTCCCTTACCTTTCCATCTTACACGCAGTGGGACTCCCTCTCTCTTCCCTCTAGTTAGTGGCATTCCTCGCTCCCTCCCTCTCTCCTGCGAAGTGCCAGCAGAGCAAAATGCAGGCGCAGTGTGCAGGGGTCAGCAGGGCTTTTGGATCTGAGGAAATATATGGGTGTGGAGAGGACGAGGACAGGGAAGCCCTTCTCCATCCTTTGAGGTGCCTCCACTCCTCCTTTCTCCACTCCGCAGGCGCTGCCACAGAGTGAAAGTCTCCCAGGACAAAGCCCCATCCTGGTCACAGAATCACAGAACACTCAGGGTTGGAAGGGACCTCTGGAGATTATCTAGTCCAACCCCCCTGCGAGAGCAGGGTCACCTACAGCAGGTTGCACAGGACGGCGTCCAGGCGGGTTTTGAATGTCTCCAGAGTGGGAGACTCCACCACCTCTCTGGGCAGCCTGTGCCAGTGCTCCACTACCCTCAAAGTAAAGAAGTTCCTCCTCATGTTAAGATGGAACTTCCTATGTTCAAGCTTGTGCCCATTACCTCTTGTCCTACCTCTGGTCCTCCAGCACTGTGATGCTTTTTAACTTAAGTATCACGAAAGGATTTAAATGGGATATCTTTTTGCAGTTGTGGATCCAAGGGTAAAGCCTTGGGTGTAGTTTAATTTGGATTATCCTTATCCTTTACAAAATAAAAACAAATTTAAAATCTTGGTAATATTGCGCACCTCTGCAAAAGTCTTGGGGTTGGGGAGTTTGCATTAAAAATTGCATTAAATGCCATATATTTTTTTTTTTTTTTAGAAAATATTTCTGGTTTAAGGGGAGAAATAATACACAGAAATCATCTCCCTTAGTGATACCTTAAATGATTTTTCCTCTGAAACACTCTTACAAGGCTGTGTATTACTAATGTGGTGAGGCAGAACAAGGTGATAAATCATAGCTTAGAGAGACTGTTGCTGTTGTTCACTGCGGCCTTTCAGCTCTTGGGTTGATGAACAAAAGCACATGTATGCACTGTGGAAATAGCGTCTTGTTCATGATGCTGCCAGGTTTCAACACTTGGCTGCTGCGTCTATGTAGTAAGTGACCCGCAAAGTATCGTCTTCAAAGTCAAATAAAGGCCGTCTGGGATAGACAGAACCACTTGGGTGTACAGCCGTGCCTCACAGCAACCGCTCAGTCCCTGATGTTTTCTCTTTGTGCTTTTCAGGTAGTTTATTTAAAACTCGATGCACCAACTGTGGAAACGTGGCTGCGAATTACAAGAGTCCAATATGCCCCGCGTTGGCCGGGAAAGGGTAATACGTCTGCCTTGTGAACTCTGTATTTTCTACTTTGCTGTTCAATGGAAGAGGGGGCATTTTGGGAGCGTACAGGAGTTTCAGCCAGCCACCCCATTTTCCTTTAGTAGTATTAATGCTTAAATTTTACACATCTCTTTAGAAACATCAGTATACTGTTTGGTAAATTCAGTGAGAGCCCATGATACTGTAAGTCTGTGAATGAATAACGGTTAATTTCTAAGTTAGCACAACGTTACACGTTTTAACTAGAGCAATTTCAGATGGTCTGAAACTCTCATACTGGACATGAACTAATTGTACTCTTTGAGAATGCGTGTTTACTCCCATCCTCTTCACCTTCCAGGCTTTTTATTAAATCAGATGCTTATTCCTTAAATTGGACTCTCATCACTTCATGCATGGATTGTCCTCTTTGCATCTCTTGAGCCCCTAGTAGCTTTTGTCCTTCAACTCATCCATAAGAGTCTCATGATTACAGGTCTCAAAATAGGGTGTGTGAAACAATCAGGAGGGAAGCATCAGTTCCCATGATTTCTGCAACTTAAAAAGTTGCAGAAGAATCCTTCAGTCTCCTTTTTCTAGCCATCCTCTGTCTTTCACCCTTAACAATAAGGGAGTGGGGAACAGGCAACAGGCATATTCTCATAGATTTTTAGGTTTTTTTCCTTTTGCATTTCACCAGATCTTTAGATAAATAATAGTAATAAATATATAGATATAATATAATATATGTATAATATATAATAAATAATAATAAATATTTGGTGTGCCTTTGACAGGCTTTGACCAGTTTATTACAGCTGCTTAGCTCTGGGATAATTCTGGACAAATGCCTGCCTGCCCTCTGTGTGGTATTTTAGGGTTGTAGTAGGTGTTGAAGTTGGCTGAAGTCGCAAAGATTCCATGACTGGAGAGTGTGCTTTAGACAATACTAAGTTTTTATTTATATATAAAGCGCACTTTGTACAATTGAATATGTATTTCAATTTTGTAACTTCAGGGCTCCAGATCCTGAAACAGAGGACGCCGCGATTCCAGTTGAGGACCTTCCTCAGTACGTATGGTTCACTTTGGTTTTTGCTGTTACCTCTTCGTGCCTTGTGCATCTCAAAGGCTTGTATTACTGTTCATGTAGTTTTGGAAGGACACGGAGACATTCTACAGGAGAAAAAGGCATGGGACTTCAGCCCAGAGAACTGTGTCTAAAGTTACGGAGGACAGCAGACAACAGGAGTGTGTACTAGAAGTTTACCATGATGCTAAAGGGATCACATGTTTGTGTACTCGAGCATCAAGCTGAAACATGACCTAAATTCACGGGGTTTGTAGTAAGTGGAGTAGTAGGAGAATTGCAGCAAGAAACTACGTGCTACACAGTAAATGTTTTGTTACTTTGCAGGTGCTACCTACTGTTAGTCAGTCTGGAATACTGTGCAGGGGTACAGCCACTGCAAAGTCCCTCGCAGACATTAAATGTGGCACGGTGCTTTTTCATAATGGCTGAAGCTTTGCCTCAGCTAGGTGCAGATGCAAGAAGCCACCCTATTTTTCATCTGGTTCCTCAGGAAGAGAGGCTAACATGGTGCTTCTGTCTTCTAGTTCACGTTCTCCTTAAAAAACTGTTGGCCAGTTTGTTAAAGTTGATGGAGGCGGAGGTTTGTAGCACATACTACATTTTAAGTTTCCTGCATTTCAGGAGCTGAGTAAGGGGAAGACACGATTAAGTATCTGAATGGAACAACCGTTCAGCAACCCGTTCTGTGTGACCAGGCAGCATGTGTGCTCTTCCAACACACGTGTAGCACAGCTTCGGCTGCCTTCTGTCCAGCACGAGGCAGAGGAGGGTGTGGGGAGGGCTGTGAAGGAGAAGGGAGAAAGAGTGAGGGCAGGTAAGACATGACCAAAAGAGAATGAAAACTGTTTTGCTGTATTGCATCTTGAAAAGTCCACATCAGCATCATAACGCTGTCCCGTTGTGATTTTTAAACAGGTGTGAGGAGGACGGCTGCAATGGGCTCCTCCGTCCCCACGTTGTGTGGTTTGGTGAAACCCTGGATCCTGACATTCTCACGGAGGTTGAGAAGGAGCTTGAAATATGCGACCTCTGCTTGGTAGTGAGTGCCACTTCTGTTACCTAGCCTCTAAACCAGCAGGGAAGCCACACTGAAGAGGTTGGAGTAAGGGAGGTGTATCTGCACTTCCCTGAGGGAGCTAAAAGCCCCTGAGGGACTCTCTAGTGTCAAGTGTAAAACACTAAAAGGCCATGGGGTTTGAAAATGTCCATAGACTACTCAGACGGTAACAGGTTCAGCATGCGTGCATCTTGCTCAGCTGCCATCTGCATTCAGTGTGCAGTGTTAGAGGTTCAAGTGTTAGAGGTCCGCTAATATTGTTTAGCTGTTGAATTTCTCAAACAGTGAGAAATATGATTATTTTGATGCTCAGTTTAAAAAAAAAAAAAAAGTGACAAAATGTTGCAAGAAGGTAGCTAGCTGTTATCACGTGCTGCTTTTTTTGTGAGGTTGTTTACAGGCTGTGTATGTTCCAGATTGCTGACCATAACACTTGCTCAGAATATTGCGTACTCTTCACAGAATAATCTCAAGTAACAGAAGGAACATCTTGTTTTGTTTTTCTGAAGGCAAAGTCTGCCATTTTGTGTTTCTGGGCTTTTTTTTTTTTAATCTACAGTTATAATCCACAAACAGGCTTCTCTGGGTTGCATCAGAGAAACAATTCGTGAATCTTATGCTATGTTAAATAGCTACATGTGCAGTGACACTAAATACAGATACTAATTTGGTTTCATTTCTGTGGGGGCCTTCCATGCTTCAGTGGTTTTACACATCCAGTGTTCTGAGAAGGGTCCTTACCTAGTGGGTTGGTTTGGTTCTGTCTGTTTAACTAGTGGTCTGCTACCCTTGTGATTTCTCACCCTGTTCCTGCAGGTGGGGACCTCCTCCGTGGTGTATCCTGCCGCTATGTTTGCCCCTCAGGTATCCGCCAGAGGAGTGCCAGTTGCAGAGTTTAACATGGAAGCCACTCCTGCTACAAATAGATTCAGGTAAAGCCGTTCAGTTTTAAACTAGCAACCTTTAGTCCCCTCCGTCTTTACTGGCCTTTTGCATTGAACTGCTAAAATGCTCACAAAATTTTTAAACAAACATGATGTAGTTTTCCCCCCAATGCTTAAGAAATACTGTTTTCTTCTACTAAGAAGGAAAGATGATTGGTCTTTCTTGGTGGAACAATCTTCCACTGAAGACACAACTCTGTTTTTCTAAGTGTGAAGCTGAAGCCTGTCCCTAAATCCTAGGCGGCTTAAAACGCCCTCCCTAAACAACAGGACTAACCAGCTACCACTGCCTCTCCAATGCACTCGAGCACTGCCAGAGGGGAAAAAAAAAAAAAAAAAAAAAAAA